AACGCCTAAAGGTGAGGCTCGTTTCTGTGTATCGGTATATTTGAATTTTGACCAGTCCACTCGCTTAGGAATGAGCAAACCAGACTGTATTTCTTTTTCATCCCAAATGCGTGTAGTTCAAAAGATCAGGCAGAAAGAAATTTAAATATCCAAACCTCTTATTATGCAAACCAGAATTTGTTGGGACTCGTCCAGATGCCTGCTGTTGGATCTCTCCCCCTCACCCCCCTCCACCCAGCCGTTAGGGTTTCCTCAGCCTACCCAGGTCCCTCATCGCTGTCTTTCTCAACCTGGTTGTTAAACATCATGTTCTGGAAAAGTGATGCTTTTCTGAAAGTCAAGGTCAGATACATGTCGGTTTGCAGTCTTCCTGCATGTCTTGTTAGGTTAAGATACTAATATAAAGTTTCCTCACTGGAAACTTTATTTTTTTTCTACGAATGCATTTGTTTAATTGCCCTAAAGCATTAAATGCACTAATTGTCTTTTGTAAAACAATAAATTATAGAATCCTCAAGCTTCGAAAGGAGCTTGGAATGGATGTGGTAATTGCTGGCTGCACCAAACAGTATGGCTATTGAGTTGAGTTACCTGACATTGAGTTTTAGGGAATGTCTGGAGCTCTGAACTGTTGCGGCTTTGTCTGCTGGGGTCTGGCATGATTGAAAGAAGCCTTACAAAACAAGATTGGGCTCACTGAAATGTAACAGCTATGTTGGCATGGAAGAAAGGCACGGTGAAAATGCTGCTTGTGTACTGGGACTGCAGTGTGACTTCAGTGCCTGCTTCGCAGATGGGCAGGCAAAGTTTGTGACAGGAAAACTCCTAGTCATGTTTCAAGTGGAGATTATGCCGTAAAAAAATGAAACTGAATTTGATAGTTCTCCTCCTGCTTGCTCTGTGATACATTTGAGATAAGTAGTCACGTAAAGAAATACCTTAGAACGTTTGTCACCTCTCCAGGTGGAGCTAAAGGGGAAAACAAATGGTGACATTGAAACAAGGTAGTTGATTGAATATGTATATTGAGAAAGAGTCTCTTGATAACAGTTGCAAGTAGTCGTACAGATGAAAATTTTCTGCCTTGAGAAAGCAGCACAGTTTTATTTTTTTTCTTCTGAGAAGGCTGGGAAGGAAACAGAACATCTTTTTTTATTCTGCTTGCTGAAAGTGTTGTCCAGGAAGGCAGAAAACTGTGACATTTAAGCTCATAAAACTGAAATTAGGAGAGAGTGTGTCTCAAGTGTGGTTATCTTCTGTGTGTCAAAATAGCTGCTCAAAGAACACAAAATTCTCAAATTGGAAAAGGAGCCCTTTGGAAAG